TATAGTTGATTCTCATTATTTGTGCATTCCATATTTGTGAACTTGCTCAAATTTATTTGTAACCTGAAAATTAGTATTTGCTGTGCTTTTGTGGTTATCCATGGACAGGCACAGTTCTTGCTGAGGTCAAATAAGGTGATGCTCTGCCTAATTGTTTCAGCTCTCATGTTCCAAACACGTGTCCTTTTTGCTGTTTATTTAGTGCTGAGTATTTGGTATTTTGGAGCTTTATGTTGATAATTTCCCAGTTTAAAATGTCCCCTAAGTATAGTGTTGAAATGCTGTCTAGTTTTTCTAAGTGCAAGAAGGCTATCATATGCCTTAAGGAGAAATTATGTGTATTGGATAAGTTTTGTTCCGGCATGAGTTATGGGGCTGTTGGTGATGAGTTTGGTGTTAATGACTCAACAATGGGATACATCCAGAAAAAGGAAGAAGAAATTCACTGATGTGTATATGACTCTGCTTTGGAAAGTGCTAAAGTAACTTCTATAGTATATGAGGAAGCTACGGGATAGATGGAAAAATGGCTAGATTGTCAGATGCATGAGATGATTACTATTAAAAAAGCAGAGTGGACAGAATTGTTGTGAGGCTGAAAGCCAAAGAAATTTATAGTCCCATTACCCAGTGTCAGGACAATGTCAAACCCTGTGTTAAACTAGCAGACACTAGTACTGGCTGGCTTACGAGCTGTGTGGCATGGAAACTTGTTAAACTTCCAGTGAGGCAGGGTCTGCACAGCAGGAGTCTGTGGAGCAACTGAAAACATGGCTACTAAGTAACTGAGAGTTACACAGTAACATGTGCCCCATGGCATTGGGGCACAATAGCAAGGTGGTGTGATCTTGGAATGATTTGAAGCCAGAGGTTTTAGAGGCTATTTGCATTATATAGATTTATTTGCCAATGTCCTTATAAAACAAGCCAGTTTCACCAGTGTGAAAAACCTACTTTTTCATTAACTCTGGACTGTGTATTACTGAGTTAAAGAGTAAAGATAGTACAATAACAGGACAGTGGAGTTGGTTGTTTTCCTCCATGCTTGAATAGGACCAAAATGACATCACTATGTCAGGGTCAAGGTACAGTGTATCTAAGTGGCTGATCAGACCAGTAAGAGGTTGGAAGGCTCGACCACAGGTCAGATGCAAATAGTCCATATGAACATTTGGAGAGGAGATATCCCTAAATTTGTGCATCCTACATTTCTTTTGAGCTAATGGAATTCTGCTTTGCTCATAGAGCATAGTGCTTTCTTTGATGCAGGCATGCCATGCTGGGTGGTCCTGTGCCAGTGTCTCCCATGTCTCACAATTGATTCCAGAGTTCTTCAGAGAGATCTTGAGAATGTCCTTGTACTGTTTCTTCTGACTTCCATGCGATGTTACCTTGTGTGAGTTCTCCATAAAATAGTCTTTGAGGCTAACATATGTTTTGCATTCAAACAACATGGCCAGCCCATTGGAATGGAATTGCGCTGTCTGCAGTAGAGTTTGAATTGTTGGCAGTTCAGCTTGAGAAAAGACCTCAGTATCTGGTACCTTATCTTACCAGATGATTTTCAGAATCTTCCTAAGACAGATTCACAGATATTTTCTTTTTTTTTTTTTTTGGCTAGGCAACAAGGTTAAGTGACTTGCCCAGGGTCACACGGCTAGTAAGTGTTAAGTGTCTGAGGACGGATTTGAACTCAGGTCCTCCTGACTCCAGGGCTGGTGCTCTATCCACTGCACCACCTAGCTGCCCCTTCCTAAGATAATTCAGATGGAAGCAGTCCTAGCATGTTCCTAGTATACTGTCCAGGTTTCACAGGCATACAACAATGAGGTCAGCCCAATGGCTCTGTAGGTCTTAAATCTGGTAGGCAGCCTAATACCTCTTCTTTCCCACACTTTCCTTCAGAGCTTCCCAAACACTGAGCTAGCTCTTGCAATGTGTGCATCAGCCTCAGCATCTATGTTGAGGTCACTGGAAAGTATCCTGCCAAGGTAAGTGAACTTACAGCATTTAGAATTTCTCCATGTTGCTTCAAGAACAATAACAGCCACAAATATTAACTACTGACAGAAAGGTGTCTTTAAACAGAAACACACATGAAACAAATTTTTGTGTTACTGGTTGATGAAAATGTTGTGACTAGAGGCTTGTAGGACTCTAATCCTGTATTTCCCTTAGGAGCAATGGTTGAGTATTCACTAATTCAGCATTTATGGTGACTTTATAGAACATAACTATTGCGAATGATGAGAATTAATTATATTTAAAGAAGATAGGTGGTATAGTGGATAGAGTACTGGGTCTGGAGTCAGGAATAACTGAGTTCAAATGTTGCTTCAGACACCTACTAGCAGTATCACCATGGGCAAGTCACTTAACCTCTTTCTGCCTCAGTTTCCTCACTGTCAAATGAGGGTAATAACTATACCTACCTTGCAGGATTGTGAGGATCAAATGAGATAATAATTGTAAAGTGCTTAGCATAGTGCCAGGTACATAGTAGGCATTATTTAAATGCTTATTTCCTTCCCTTCTGCTTCCATCTTTCCCCTTTGCCTTCCCTTTTTGGTCGTATTTGATATGCCGGTGGGTTACAGTTGTAGCCCTATGGCAGTCCCTGAAGTCTAGCTCAGAGATATTCTCCCTTGAATTAGAGGGAGTGTGGCATGTTCTTTCTTTCCTCTAGTGATCTGGTTTTGTGATTCTGATCTCTTGGGTTAGTGGCAGCACTGAGGTCTCTATGCCTGAGGGCTAATTGTTCAATCTGCCCCTTGCAGTCAGCACTGTTCTGCTTCACAGTGCTTCTGGGATCTTAATCCACGCGTTACACACTTCTTGTCCTGGTCATTTGCCTTTGGCTTGAATTTGTTACCCTGTGCTGGAAAAATGACCCACTTTGGTTTCGTCTTAGATTTCCATTTACGACATGGTCTGAGGTTTTCTTCTACTTCACCATCTTGGGTAGTTTGCTTTGAGCTACACATACATACACTGATACACACAGATAAACATTTTACTTACAAATATTCTTCATATGTAAGAGGGAATTGGATCTAAATGATCTCTGAAAATCTGTTCCAGTGCTAAAATCTTGTCAGTAGGCAATCACATCATGAGACTTATGTGAAAACTAGGTTTATCACAGGAAAAATGAACATGCATGTGGAATCCAAACAGTTCAGAGTCCTTACAGAAGTTTGCAAATTTGTGACAGTATAGCAGGAGGAGGAAAAAACAGGGAGGGGCGTGGCATGGGAAGGGAAAAGTGCAGCAAAGGTAGGAGAAAGGACAAAAACCCTCCTGAAGAGGAGGAGAAAGGTGGTGGCAAAGGATGTATTCTTTTCCTTTGGAAAAAGATGATGACTATGACCACGAAGATAGGAGAATCTTCCTTATCGGAGGAGGACCCCACCTGCACAAGCATTTTTCCAGCCTGCCACAGACTGGTTGGCACCTGTCTTGCCTCCCAAGGACACACAAAGAATCCAGCTTGGGGTGCCAACAACAAATTATGTCAGCTCCGAGTGGTGGTAGGGACTTCGTCCTCGACACATTCAAGGCCTCCTGCATCTTATGGGTCCAGTGTTTCTGGAACATTGGCAACTCAAAAAGACAAGTTCAAGGGACCCCTTAACAGCCTTTAACAATCCCATCATCTTAAAATATGTGTATTTTTTGGCATCTTGAAATTTATGCAAATAGAGGTTATATGATTTTTTTTTCCCATTGAGAATCCCTTCCACCAATGTAGACACTTCTCTTTTAACCCCTGGTAGCTCTTGGAAGTTGAGTGAGGCACATAGTCATTAAGTAACTTTTTTTAGCATCACCAGCTAGTAAGAGGTGAGATTTGAAATTTGGTCTAACACCAGTACTCTATTTATAATAACATACTTTTTCTAAATCAGAGGTTATTAACCTGGGGTCTTTGAACTTGGATTATTTTTAATATTTTGATTACCATTTTCAGTATAATTTATTTCCTTTCCTTACTTATGGAATATTCTTAACACTAAGATAAATAGAAAACTTTGAAATTCACTCAACAACAGAAAGATCACACTATCCATTTAGGATATCACTAATACCTCAGGTGATTTGATTTCTAGAGAGCATAATAATGGAAAATAAGATATGTGGGATTGTGCAATTTCTTTTAAAATAAAACTTTATTTTTTTTTACATTACCAAAATTCCCCTACTGTCCCTCCTTCAGAAAGTCTTCAAATTATAAAACGCCTAAACTAACAGAAGACTACATAGTGCTTTTTTATAGTCCATTTTCAGAAAAAGAAGTAGAGCCAGCTGTATAGGAATTGCCGAAGAACAGAGCTCTGGGTTCTGATGGATTCATAAGAGTATTCTGTCACACTTACTTATAAAAGACAATTAGTACCAACATTACACAAATTATTCTTGAAAAGTTAGAAAGAAAGCACTGTACTCTTAGATTCTTTTATGAGACATAGCCTTTCCATTTTCCATAGTTTTCCATTTCTTTTGAAATAGTTTCTTCATTTCTCTTAAAATATTGTCAGAATAAAGAATTGAAAAAGAGGACCCATCTTTGCAGTTGTTTGGCTTTACGTAATATCAGTTTACTTTATTTTTGTCATCCTTGCAAACATCTGCTGGACTAGGGACATTTAAACATGGGACAAGTCCTGTTACTTTTATGTTCCATTACTAGTCTTCCTTTCCTTTTTCTTTCTTTCTTTTCATAACTTCTACTCATTGCTTCCATTATCCTAAGGGTATTCCATACAACCCTAAGGTCTCCCTTCCACTAACCCCAGAACCTCAAATTAATTACTTCAGTTAAAAATTTCAATCCCCAAAGTGAAAATTAGTTTGGAAAAATCTTGGTTTTGAGTACTTGGGGAATTTAATGTCCATCGTCATGGGCTTTTCTTTTCCTAACTTAGAATTTAAGGATCTTATAACAATATTCTTATCAAGATTTATCTGTACTGACAACTTTTTTTCTTCCTCCAAATTAGGAGAGGAAGGAGAAGTTATCTAAATTTGAGTCACTTCGTCACTCCATTGCTGGAATGATTCGATCTCCCAAATCTATGTTGGGCTCTTCATCAGTAAGTAGGATTAATTATTTTGTGCTTTTGTAAATCTTCCTTTTATTCTAGAAGTAAGATATGATTTTTCATTTTGTTATGCCTCAGTGAGTCATCAGGGGAGGATTTGATTGAAAATATGTAATTTGTAAACTATACCTAAAGAGGGACTCTTTGCTTTGAAAGGTGCATAAGGGCCTAATTTGACCAATAGTAGGATCAATTTTGTTACATGTTAAATCACTTTGCAGTGGGAATTATTACTTGACAAAGTATTCATCTACCTATGTATTAGCAGTTTTTAATGTTATTTCAGTTGCAAAAGTACATGAAACTTTATTGACATATAAATTTATCATATAAATATAGCTAGCAGAAAGGTGTCCAAAACAATTTGCCCTATTTGCAATAGTTCATTGACTGAGGGAATTAGAGAATGTTCTTATCCCATATCATATGTTTTTAAACTATTTTTTGTTTATTTTCTAATTCTAAGAAACCAATCACTCATTTCAACCATCCACAATGAAGCTTTAGTATAGTTTCTTTTGGGTTGTTGATCAAATATACATACAGTACACAATACACATTAATTACTATTCTTTTGAAAACACTTTAGGTTGTATTTCTGTAATTTTCTAACTATTAAAGGGCATTATAAGTATATGTTAGTATGCACGTATGTGATTGGGGTCATATTATATATTACAAATTTTGCTTTTTAGGGAAATAAGATCATATTTGTAAAAAGTAGAAATTAAACTGCTTCCTAGCTTTCTAGACTAATTTAATAGTGCAACTACCTTCTGAATTCACTCCATGTATATAGTGATATCTGTCCCAGAGAAGCAATAGAGCAATAGTTTTTTGCTTGTATGTATCAGATAAATCCTGTCATATCAAAGGATGACCAAATGCCACTGAAAAGATTACCAAACCTTGAATTATGTACTATTGCTTACTTTTATTTTTTTTCCTGTTGCAAAATAATTTTTAAAAGTACTGTTTCAAATTATTTGAGAACAATTTAAGAAATGTAAAATATACATGAGATATTTTTTGATTTAGTTTAATTTAGTAAAATAATTGGTTCAGATGGCTGTTAGTTAAAAGGAAAAAAGAAAAAAATTCTTCAACATATTTTAGCTTTTATTGCTAGTAGTATTCTAATAAAAGGAATCGTTTTTGTGGGAACTAAAAGGTAGAGGTGAACTGAATGGTAGCTATCTTGTGTGGCATTGGGGGGAAAAACAGTTACTTTCAAACAAAAACAATTACTGGGAATGGGACAGGGGTCCTCCCAATGATTTCTTCCTGGAAGTGTGGAAATGCTGCTTTCCCAAGGCAAATGACAGCTCATTTGTTACTACAGTTCTAGGGAATTGTCTTAAGGCTTTGAGAGGTAGATGCTTGCCTAAGTTCACATAGCTAGGAGTCAGAAATTTGAACCTAGGCCATTTTTACTTCAAGGCCAGCATTCTATTCCATGTATCACACAGACATTCTTGCAAAAATTATTCTTCAGGAAATGTCTGCCAAAATTCATACCTTTTTCTTGCTTTTCAGAAAAGCAGTTTCACTATGAAGCTATAGACCCTTTTTGACTAAGCAACTAGTAAGAGTCCATTTGTAACTTAGTTTTACAGTGATTTGATTTTCCAAAGCCAGGAGTACAGAAAGCCAATTCAAGAATTTGAGAATCTTTTGTAAATATGAAATAAATAATACACTTATGAATGATTTTTTGGGAAAGGAAAAATTATTTTGTTCAAGATACAGTATAAATAGTCTTTGAGATTCAAAGAAGTTATGATGAAAATGCAAAAGAAGAAATAGTGAAATATAAAAAACCCTCTCCCTCAGTGTTTTAATGTGAAAATTAACTAATAAAAAGTCTTGATGTTTTTTCGTAACATTAACTCACTTTCCACTTCACTTCATGGGTTGAAAACTGGTGTCAGGGGCTAGTAGCAGTTTATACTAGGGCAATAGGAGAAATTCCCATTATTTTGCTTTGTGAATAGTCCTTCTTACAATGCCTAATTTACTCACCTAAACCTAAAATAGTCAACATTGTTGATAAATTCAAACCCAGAGATATGAATCTGAGCTTTTATTTCAACCTTCTAAGGGAATGCCTTTAAAAGTGTACAAGAGTAGGAGAAAATAAAATTCCTCTTTGGAAAAATGTAGCTAATTCCTACTTTTGCAATTTTCTTATGGCCAGAGGTTATTGGAGGTTACATATGCCCAGTACCTTTTCCTGAGACTTTAGTATGTCACATTTCTTTGAAGTAAATACAGATGTTTTGAAGTTAATATAGGCTTTTGGAACTAACTCAGGACTTAATGTGATAGAACCAGGTCAATAATTTGAATTCCATACAAGAATAGGAAAGTGGTGGAAAGGGTGAGCTTTTTCTCATTGCTCCACTAGGTAGTAGTGTATACAGTAGTGGGCAGTTAGTGAACATTTATTAAGTACCTACTGTGTGCCAGGCACTGTTCTACATGCTGGGGATACTAATATGAAAAAGAGAGACAGTCTCAGCCTTCAAGGAGCTTGCTATCTAATGGGGGAACACAACATTGAAAAGGAAACTGAAAAAGATACCAGGCATCTATGGCACCATGGAGAAATCTACAAGTGTGCAGCCAGTGGGAAATATGAAGGGATGGCTGACCTGGGGCCCTCCTTAAACAGAAGTTTTGAGAGGAGTTCTTGGCGCAATCTTCCAATCAGAAGTGTCCCAGGGGAAGAGGATGCTAAGTAGGTATGAGTACCACATCTGATTTCAGTCTTTCAGGATCATGAGGTTCTTGGGGACATGATGAAGAAGTCCAGAGGAGGGTAGCTGAGAAGGAATTGAAGGACAAAAGGGAAAATCAAAGTGTTCATTATGTTAATAATATAATGAGTTACATTCTTACGTAGTATATATCATGCCTTTTATTTGAAGTGTCAGTGAGTTAATGTTATAAAAACATAACTTTTTAATCTCCTAACATTTCACCTCAACCATGTTTTTTAAAGTAATGTTTAGCATATACATTGACAATCATTTAAGCAAAATTCAGTTTTTAGGAATTGCCTTTACCTTAATCTGATTGAATTGCATTCTTCAAAAATCATGCATACTACTAAAATATCCATTTCCCTTTAATAAGTTTCTCATTTTTATTTTAAGTCCTCAAAGTCTCTATTAGGCATAAAACATTTTTCTTAAAAAGAAAAGAGTTCTTATACATTTGAGAATTTTAACAAGTGATATCTCTCTAGCAGATAAAGACTCTCTGTTCTTAGATCATTTAAATGCCCAAAGGTTTTCGATTCACTGATACATTTAGTGAGCTCTTGAAGTAAAATAATAGAGGCTATGTGTGTTCCTTGTAAGCTTATGACACAATCAACTAATGAACTAAAATATTTCTCTTAAGAATTAAGTATACCTAGAGAAGCTCTACTTGTGCACCTATAAATACACAACTTCAGTCTGGTGTCAGAGGTTTTCTGACTGATCAAATGAGATTATCTGTAGAGCTTGCTTTGTAAACCATAAAACACTGTATCAATGTTAGCTGTCATAATTGTCTTTGTTATGACTATCATTATTATAATTATTAGTATTATTAACTAAAGCCATGCAACCTTGATTTAAGTATGCATTTTTAGTGGTGTTAGGCATGACAATTCATCTTACCACAATACCCCCTCCCCCAAAAGTCTGTCATTTTAATACCAGTTTGTTAAATGTTAAAAGATTAGCATTTATAAAGTTGCTTGGATTATTTGTAAACTTTTTTTCTGCTTAAAAATAATATACAAAAAGGTATTCCAAATCATTTGAGAGCCAAGTAAGTAAATGTATATAAGATCTTATAAGATAAAATTTTTTATTGAAAATAAGATGACCCTTTTCTGACAATTGGTTGCATAAATTTAAAATTTTTTCACTACTACAGCAACCTGGAGTCTCTCTTTTTTCCCTCCCCCCTCTCCCAATCTCTCTCTCCCTCTGTCTCTGTGTTTCCCTCCCCCCTTTTCTCTTTCTCTCTCTCTCTCTCTCTCTCTCTCTCTCTCTCTCTCTCTCTCTCTCTCTCTCTCTCTCTCTCTCTCTCTCTCTCTCTCACACACACACACACACACACACACACACACACACACACACACGTACGTATTCAGGCCAAACTTTAAGTCAAGTACAATTTTTGGAGAAAACTTAAAGCAAGTGAAGTGAAGAACCTAGAATAATTTTAGCAGTGCCCATGTCATTTCTTTGAAAATAGTGTAGTGTAATAGGATCGTGTATTAGAAATCATTTGACTTAAACACTGATAAATCATTTTCAGATTTAAAAGAAAGAAATAATAGGAAGAATAGGATAATATATAAGAAAAGTTTAAGCTGAAGCTTTTTGTATGTCCATTCAGTGGAAAAATACTGCAGAATTCCCTTATTATGTAATATTTCCTTAAGATAGATTCCCGTCTTATGAAACAAAAGAAAATATGAGGATTTATAAACCTTATAGATCTTGCTACATATATTTAATTGAAAAAATTCTCTGGGACATTATGCCAGAATAGGAAAAAGAGTCGGATGACTTATATTTTTAATGATTTTATTCATTATTAAGATATCACTTGAGTAAGCTATGTAAGATACTCTTAATAAATATTTTCTATCAAGGTTTTACCACTTATTAATTAGTTTAAATTAGGACTAATCTATCCCTCAAGACTCAAAGAAAATTGTAAAATTTTCTTTTTGTGTTATTTTCCATGCAAAGCGCATCATCAATAACTTACAGTTATTGATAAAAAAAGAGGTAGAGGAACAACAAAAAAAAGATGGGCACACATTTTTATAAGAAGATTTTTCTGGAAGGGTTTTTTTAAGACATTTATCATCTTCACGAGATTCTGAAAGATGATTACTCACATTTGCCTATATATAAATAAGAGCTTAATAAATAAAAATGGTGAGCATGTTTTGCAAGAAGCCTTTTGCTACATTAACAAAAAGGGTAGATAGAATTTACAAAGTTTGTGAGGCAAATTGCCACAGTCTATAAAAAAACTTGCACTGAACTATCAAAATGGGGTAGAAAATTTAGATACATTTTCAAGTGAAAATGGTTTTGTGAATATTTCAAACAAAAACACTTATGCCCTGAATTATCTGGGTAACTTCCTCAGGATCTAAATTCATCTGTCCACCAGCGGAACTAGAATATGCACCTGACTTTAAAAGCATTGTGAAACTTAATACTTACATCAATTTCACAGTGAGAGATTAAAGAATTTGAGGTTAAATAAATTATGAATTATATTTGTCAATGAACAGTTAATACTTATTTTCATGATAGGCTGGTCCTTTAAAAATGATTATATGTTGTACAGATGTCTTTTTAAGAAGTACCAAATGTGCCAAAATACTATGATTCAATTACTAGGCCACAGGAAACCTAGACATGGCCCCACAAACCTAATTTTTCAAAGAGCACTCCTTTGAGGTTAAAGCAGAAACCATTTAATAAGCATCCTCTGAAGACAGCATTTAGAGTTTGTTTCAAACAGATTACATTAAAATCACACTGTATTTAATAAAATCTGTTTCAAAACATGTGACATAATATACATTATTTAAATAGACGTTTTGTTGTTTACAGTGATTTTTTGGTAATGAATTATTGATTGGCCTACTTGTTACATTTTATGTAGAACTCCTACTCCATCTCTTTACAGATGAGGAAATTGAAAACCAGAAAGGTGAAGTGATTTGCCTCATAATGTCAATTGGCCCTTGGTTTATGAGGTATATTCTAAATGCTGAGTTGGGAGTAGTCTTTGAAGAATGCTTTAATGAGCTTATGTTTTTGACAGAACTGACATATGCACTTTAGACACTAGAAAAGTACTTAGACAACCAATGAGATAATATATTATAATTAATACTTTTATTCATTTTATACTTTATTGACACGAATGTTATTCACCTTAGGTTTTTATTGCCTCACAATTTAATATAAACATGTAGAGGAAAAGAAAAGTATGTTTTTCTGATATGAAGCATAGTAATCTCTTAAGATATTTTTTGATGATTTTTATGAATGCAATTCCAACATTTGCTTAGATTATATATTGATATTTTGCATATAATATTTGGAGTATTATAATATTTAGTTTCCACACTTAGTATAGGGAAATGGAGTTATTATTTTGCATAACATAAGAAACCTCTTGTATTTTTTAGTGCGCTCCATCGAAAGTAGCAGAGAAACCTTGTGCTTCCTCTAAAAAGGCATGTTATTAAGCCCAGGTTAACTATTACATATTTTTTTTAAATGTTAGCTGTCTTTTATTATTCTCAAGGTCTTTATTTACATTTTTCGCCTAGGCTCTAAGATCCAAAGAATGAGAAACAAGGGAGGATAAAAAGTTAAGTTTCTTGTATCATATAAATCACTGCCGTATCCAGTATTTTCTTGTATAGCCATCCTTAGAAAAAGTTGACCTAGTTTTTATACTGTCAGAAGCAAGTTATATTTTATTAGTGATAAAATTGATATTCAAGTATATCATGATAAACAAAGGATGGCTAACAGGATGTATCTCATTTTGAGAGAGCAGATTTGTCTTTTTCTTATCCTGGCTGGATCTTAAAAATAAGTGACAGAGATCACATCAGATTGATGACGTGCTCTGGTTAGGAAATCCCAAATTTCTCCTGCCAAGAAAGAATGCTATACTGACTCATTGTAGTTCAAGAGTATTGTAAGAAATAGACTTGGGTGCAATTAATTTAATTGTAAGTGATTTCTTCTCCCAAAGTGGTAAATTTTAACGATTATTTTGCCACATTTTTGGACTTTGTTGTTATAGGGTAGCATAAAATGCTTAAGAGGAGAGATATACTGTATATGAGAAGAAAGGTAGATATAGAAGAAGAGATAATAAAATGGTAGGAGAGTAAAGAAGAGTAAGAAAAAACAGGTGTGGCAAGTGTAGTTGAAATAATAACATGGGAATGAGAAAAGAAAGCAGAGGAAAAATGCTAAGAATTAAGGAACAAAGATAGATGAATAAGGGAAGAAAAGAAGTCAGAAAAAAGAGAAGACACAGGAAAACAGAAGATGTGCTGGCAGCAGAAGTATTAGACAAGAAATGAAAGGTAAAGAAAATATATTTCTCTAGAGAGTGTCTCGTCACACAAGACTACTACAGGACAGGCAACCAAAGAAATGTGAAGTTGCCTAACATAAGGTAATTTATGTTCTTGACCTAGTCGTGTTGTATCTTGCCTTTTTTTTTTTTTTTGGCTAGGCAATGGGGTTAAGTGACTTGCCCAGGGTCACACAGCTAGTAAGTGTTATGTGTCTGAGGCTGGATTTGAACTCAGGTCCTCCTGACTCCAGGGCCGCCTAGCTGCCCCTTTGCCTTTTTTTTTTAAGTTTATAAGAAGATCTCCCAGATTAGAATATTTTATCGCATTTGAATTTTGCTTCCTAACATATGGTAGTCTTTATATTACGAATAAAGACTAAAAGAGAGGGTAATGTTTGCAACAAGGAAGAGTATTTGGCAACAAAGATAAATAAAAGTTCAATTAATATTTCTGTCACACATAATTTTTTAACTTAAGAGCTTCCGCTTTCATTTCCTATACTTATATAGGAAATATTAATGTCTCATACTAGTGAACTATTTGATAGGCACTAATTAAGAAAACAGAGTTAGTTGACAATAGGAATATAAACAGATCTTTTAATAATTTTCTAATTGTTGTCCCTGAGGACTCTTTGTTTAGAAAGATCCTGATAGCTATACAGTTTGCCTGTATTTTCTAATTTTTACTGTGTCTAAAATTGGATCATTTAAAAATTTTAGGCCCATATTCTTATTTTTTATATTTTTTAGGGGAGAATATTGTTACTCTAGAGTTTCATAACTTATTTGATATTTTAGTTTCGTAACTTATTTTATACTTTAATACATATAATTATTAAGTTTAGTTTTGCAATATTATCACCTTTCTAAATTGATTGGTTTTCTTTTCCTTGAATATAATTTTGGCTTCGTGAGTCACATTCCTATTCCTCAACCTGGAGTTCCTTCACATTCAAAGTTACAGTACCATTTTATATCTGATTACCCAGTCCTTCCAAGTTCTTCCTAAGAATTCTATGTGACATTAATTTTTAAAAGTGATTTTTTTTCTATTTTAGAATTTTACTTGAATTCTTTTCCATATTCTATAAAATTTGAATTGTTATTCTCAAGACTTTTAAAAGAGTATTTACATTTTCTATTAAACTGTGATAAAGACTGATTTCTTTATTACATTTTTGGTGATTCACCAGAATTTTTTAGAACAGATAAGGTGCCTCTTTACCGCACTTCTTTTGCCCCTTGTGTTGGCTACCCAGCCCATCCCCTAAATAGAAAGTTGGTTGCTCTTCAGTCGTGCTTCCGTTTTATTCTCTTGTGTGGAACGGAGTCTTTAGTTGCCTGCTTTATACTGCCTTGTCTTGTGACAATTAGCCTCAGTAAGAAAATACTCATTCAGAAGACCAGACTAGTAGAAGAGGAAAACTTCTTTTTTTAAAGTATAAACATAAATTTTTTTCTATGATGTTAGCAAAGTGTCAGCTACTTTGCCCAAAAGAATTTTCCAACTTATGTATGTGATGATAAACATTTGGGCACTTTGTGGACATTCTAAGAGCGCTTAGGACTAGAGGATGCTGAATAATATTTATTATATATACTACATCCTATTATAACCAGCCTCAAAATATATAGGATTCTATTGAAGTGAATATTGCCAAAAATTCTCTTTCCAGGATGGTCATAGAAAAGCAAATTTGAGTTGGTCAGGGATGAAGGTAGAACCCCTCTCCTTTGTGTAAATCCACATAAACTTCAGCCCAGAATGCACGCCACCTTTGTGCCTTTAGTTTTAGCTAGGAAAGAGGTTAATTTATTGGGATGATGGCACTTAGTCTTCCTTCCCAGCAGAAACTAATTAGCAGAACAAGTGGGTATGTGTTCCCAAAGTGATTGAAGTAAAATTTACTTGCTATATATAACAAGCAAGAATCTTAGAGTTGGAAGTGAATTTAGAGGTCATCTAATCAAACTTCCTTCCAAGTTTAGAAATACTCCCTATGGTGGAAAACTCATTAATTCTGTTTTTGAGCAGTTCTGAGAGAAAGTCCTTCCATACCAGAAGTTTAAATCTGTTGTTATTCCTCCATATAGTTCAATGGAAAGAACCCTGAATATGGATTCAGAAGACCTTGGTTAATGACTCGGCGCTCTGGCTTACTATCTTGTGTGACCTTGGACAAGCTATTTGGCCTCTCTAGACCTCATTTTACTCATCTGTAAAATGAGGGTGTTGGAGTAGATGCCCTAAGATCCCTTCCTACTCTAAATCTATGATCCTTTGACCTAGTTGTCCTGCTTCTGCCTTTTAGAGGGAGAGAGAATAAGTCTCATTCCTTTTTCAGGTAGAAGCATTTGAAATATTTGAGCATAGCAGTGGAATTCCCTCTAAATCTTTCCTTCTCCTGGTGAAACAGCCCCATTTCCTTTAGGCATTAACCATCATTTAGGACCCTCTTAACATCCTGGCCATCCTTTTTTGAATATATTACAATTTGTCTTTGCTTCTCTTAAAATAAGGTAGCAAGATCCTTGTCCTAGAAGAAAATTTTATAACAGCCCTGATTAAAGAAGCAACAATCTGAGCAAACTCTAAAATTGCTGGTAGGTGTCAAATTACTACCAGGTATCATAATCAAATCGCTCATTCAGTGTGTCCAGCTGCTGTTTAGAATTCCTTATGCTGTCATCTCCACAGGCTAAGGATCTTAGGTTTTAGAGAAAGAACAGATCTTAGAGATCATCTAGATTTACCACTGCTGCCCTTCCATTTTAAAGATAAGGATTTAGATGAGGTGACATGCCTAATGCTACAGAGGTAGTAAGTAGCAAAATGAGGATTTGAACACAGGTCCTCTGAGAGAAAACCTGTGTTCTTTCCATTATGCCATACTTTTCCGTGCCCATACTAGAATATGATTAGAAAGGCAAAGGCAAATAAATGTCTGAGCCTAGGACGTTACTGCTTATGTTGATTTCTTTTTTTATGACATTTTTCATAGGAACATAGATTTAGAGCTGGGAGGGACCTTAGAGGTCATGTAGACCAGCCCCCTCATTTTACAGGTAAGGAAACTGAGGCCAAGAGAGGTTAAGTGCCTTGCCTAGTGTTGCCACAAGTAGTATGTAGAAGAATCAGAAATCAAACTCATATCCTCTGACTCCAAGTCCAGTGCTCTTTCCACTGCACTACATTGCATTCCTTTGCCAAAGAAAGGGAGAAAATTACACTGAATTATTTGTTTTAGTAATTTTTATTGACCAAATTCTTCCAAAACCTATTGTGATAAATCATTGGCTGAGCTTAGAATCTTTTCATTTTAGTTATCTTTATAAAAATATTATTTTTAATGGGATCTGACATAATTAAAACTTGGGGAAAAAGTAACATTTAATCATATTGGAAAACCTACCCTTTTAGAATTCTGAACTTTATATTACTTACAGGTTATTCAGTTATTAGTGCATTTGTTGTATTCCCATTTGTAAAACTTTCAGTGTTCCATCCTTTTCTAAGCAGTTGGTTGTTCCTTAAAAACATATTCTTTGAATACATTTTAAAAAATAATATGTTTATCAAAGTTTATATTAGAATAGAAAGACATAACCAATTTTCAATTTTAAAATGTACTTGAATATATTAACAAACTGAGGCATTAAAGGACAACCAAAAGAACAGAGTAAACATTAATTAATGCAATGTAACAGGAAAAGTAAATGGGAATAAATGGGCAAATTAACATGATGTAGAAAGAAGGAATGATTGAACAGTTACATTTTATAAATAAAATTATATGTAAGTATTTGCAAAAAACCTTGAGTTGGATTTGTATTTAATATTGTTTATCATTATTTTTCAAATTGAAGAATTTAGTTTAAATGAAAAAATATAGAAATACCATTCATTTAAAAGAAGGTAATTAAATTAATAAGCAATTCCTTTTTGTTCATTAACAATAAAAGTCTTAAAATTCTTTATCTTTTTAAAGGAAAATTAGTGAAGTTTAGATGAGTAATTCGTTTCACTTGAAAGAATCTTATATAATGAACCACAAAATCAAGTTAGAGAAGGATATTAAAGGCTTAGTTGAATCCTTTAATGTTTAGAGATATAAATCTAATTAAAAGGAATTATGAATGTATAATTAGTAGTCTATTTTTTTTCCTATTAAAATGGCAAGGCTCCTCAATATCTAGCCATATATATGCTCAGTAAATATTATTTAAAGAGTAGATAGCACAAAACTAAGGTTTCCTGTGGGGGCCTTATTGGGCATAGTTCTTAGGCTTTTTAAAAGCCATGTACCTGTTCTATGTGATAGAAGTGGCCCAAACCATTAGTTTAAGTCTACAGTGATTATAGATTTATAACTTTTCTGATAACCTCATTAAAGGCCAGATAGATAAATATTATGTCAGAAGAGCTTTGTGGAAACTCTGAGCTATATTTCTATATTTAAAACATTTTGTGCAGAGGTGGGGAACCAAAGATTTCATAAACTTATATATAGTGTGGTTTCAAGTGCATTTTCAATAATATATTATATTGAATATTGCTGTAACTAGCTGAATATAAATTTTATTGCACTTTTCGTTTCAAATGGAAAATGTTGATCCCTTGGGAGGTTGATTTTGGGTATCAGAAATGGTGCAGTGCATAATCTATATTGAATTGTTTTGCCTTTTCAAGGCGGGGGGGCTGAGGAGGGAATTTGTAACTCAAAATTGAAAAAAAACTGTTAAAATTGTTTTTACGTGTTATTGATAAAAAAGTAATTTTTTTAAAAAAAGAAGTGGTACAAAAACTGCAGTCAGGCTTAACTAATTTCGTGTACTATAAAGATAATATGTTTATTTAGCTGCACTGTAAAGTTTAAAAAGGATTTTCACCTCCATTATATAATTTTATTTTAATAAGAATTTTTTGAGGAAATGATTATATGAGGAAATAGGTTTTATCTCTGTTTTACAGGTGAGGAAACTGAGTTTCTGACAGGCCAATTAACTTGCCTGAGATTAACTAGAAATAATTTTCAGAGCAGGGTCTTGAACCCAAGTTTTCTAATTCAATGCTCTTTCCACTGTACTATGCTGTCTTTTAGGCATAGTTTGGCCTAGAGATGCTATTTTTTAAATTTTAAAGTCTCCATGATGCTTCTCAATTTTTCATTAACAAAGATGATTTAAATTAGCTTTACCTTTCACTTATTAGATATTTTATATAATTTAATTGTATATTAATCATGTAATTATATTAATTATATATTATAATTGATTGAGATTTATTCTTTATTCATTAGACATATAGCTGTCCTAAGGACCCAAAAATGTTACACTAAGGTGTCTTGTTCAGACTTGAAATGTTTTTTGGGAAAAATTGGCTATGTGTATGGGAAAGGGGCAGGGTTATAGAGGGGAGGAGAGGGATGAGAGGTTCAATCTGAACCATTTCATCTATGTCAGTAACTTCCAAATGTCAAAATTCATTTACTCATGCAAACCTACAAATCCTTTCCAATAGTTTTTGAGAGTTGTTAGGGGATACTGAGAGGTTAAATGATTTGTGTTTAGTCACATGTAGGTATATATGGAGCTGAAAAGCTTTTCACATACGTGAATATATGTAAATAAGGATAGGGCACAGATATCAATCCATGATTTCAGTGCTATAGGGAGCTCTTAAATTAGGAAATTACCTCTACTAATTTAGGTAGGCACTTTCTCACACCTTAGTATTATGTCTGGAACAATGAGAGGTTAAATGACTTTCCTGGAATTACACAGCCAGTATGTGTTAGAGGTAGAATTTTAGTCCTGGACTTCCTGGCTTCAAGGCTAGGTCTCTTTCTGCTATGACATGTTCTTTCATTTAACTATATGAAAATTTTAAATCCTTTTACTGTGTATAAGAAAATGTAAGATTCCATTTGCCAGAAATTAGAGATACATCAAGAAAGTGATATAACCCTTGGCTATCTTAATATCTTTTTAAGATCATAGATATTTTACTTTTTTTAGTTGGGGTCCTGTCTTTGGACATTGATCACAATTTCTGAAGCTTTGCATAATATGAACCATTGAGATTTTTCATGTACAAGATTTTTTTTTCTGGTTTTATTCAGTAGCTTGGTAAGAGTGGAAACAAACAAATTGCAGAGTTGGCAACAGAAGAAAACTTGATAGAGATGGAAGTAGTGGTGAATCCATGACAAGACACAGGAATGATACTTCTAAAAGCAGTAGTAGATAAAGCCTGGGGTTTGCAGTTGACATGAAAACTCGGCCTTGGAATATATAGATAATAGACAATACAATAAATTGAATTGACTGTATGAAATAACTAATACAACTTTATTTACAAGTAAAAATAAAATGTGTATTATGATTAATATCTTTGATATTCCTTTTTCTGTTTACAAGTTAGAAATCTAATTTTGTAATTTGTAGTATCAACTGAACAAAACAAGTTGTAATGATATTACTCTTCCATATACTTTTTGACTTTTAATGAGCAGAATTTTATAGGATTGTAAGAAATGTAAGTATAAGATATACTTACATTTCTTATATATTATATAAATATAGGATTTCTTACAATTATCTTAGTAAAAACATAAATTGACCATTTTTGAAGATGTCTATTAAAAAATGGAGGCAACATGTATAGTAGAAAGAGTGTAGGATTTACGGAGTATCTGGATTTGTATTTTAGCTCCACTGCTTTCTACAGGACTTTGTGACTTTGGGCCAGTCATTTAATCTTTTTTGGTCTCAGTTTCCTCATCTATAAAATGAAGGGGTTGGAATAGATGACCTCTGAGATTCTTTACAACTCTAAGTATTTTGTTTAGATAAAAATAATATGTAAAGCAGTTGTTCTGAAAATTATAATATATTAATTGGGGAAGTTTTAGGCCATCAATAAAAATGCAAAAAAAGTGTTGATACTTATTGTAATAAAAAAAGCTTCAACATTATTGCTTCTAATTTATTTCTCTCTTTAATGTTTATTCAAGTTCTGTGATGTAATATCAGCAAGTGACAAGCCATTGGTAGAACAGGACTGGTACCATGGTGCAATTCCCAGAATAGAAGCACAGGAACTCTTAAAGCAACAAGGAGACTTCTTGGTTCGGGAGAGTCACGGGAAACCTGGTGAATATGTCCTGTCTGTGTTTTCAGATGGACAACGAAGACACTTTATTATACAGTTTGCTGATGTATGTTGGTGTTGTAGTTTGTTTATTTTAATATAAAGAAATAATATAGTAATGGATAGTTTCTGATAAATTCCTATATTAACACCAGGTAGCAGTATTGGAGTCATAAATGAGTTTTTATAAATATCAGGCACCCATGTAAAATAATCATTTTAAGGCAATTTTAATTCTTTTTCATAGCAATTAAAAATGATTTTCTACAATTTCATTAACATTTTATGTCACTAACATTTCTTAATTGTGTTAGGAGTTTTATTATGCAATGTCTTTTCCTCAGATTCTCTGCTATTTTCTATCTCCATGAAATTTTAACTTCTTAGCTTCCGTTATTGGGAGTTGAAGGTCTTTGATTATACTTCTACTTAGTGATGGTGCTACTGATGGCTGGTGAAGGCCCTGTCACCTGTTATTATTTCTGAATTTAACTTGATTTAATAACTTTTTCAGCCACTGTACTGTCATCTCTCATTCAACTCTTGGGTATAGGTTGGGACCACCAGCCAGGAAGTGATAGCATCCACATCAGCCCTAATCTCAAGGCCTTTTAGCCTTATGCTTTGGGATGGAGGGGAAATACTGTGGTCCCTTGATGGCTTCTTCTTTTCCTGTCTTTTTCATTTCCTTTCCTGTGTTTCTTTTCCTTGAATTTCCTTTAATTTACCTCTTTTAATTTAGTTAGCTTCATGTGGTACATTTCTCAATATTTTGGAGGTTTTCGTAAAGATAGTTGAGTTTGTCTGTATCCTTTGATTCTGCCATCTTCTGGTCTGTCCAGTTTCCTTTCTATTTCACCATCATTATATCATGTAGGGCTTTTACCCTTACCACATTCTTTAGTCTTGTTTGTTTGTGTTTCTTATATCGTTTATTTTTGTATTTTTCCTAGAGTCCGTTATAGTGCTTTACACACAGTAAGCACTTAATAAACATGTTTTGTGCTGAATTAAATGAATTTGTTTGAATGGAAAATGAGTAGTCCTTGTGTTGGTGCTATAGTTTTTGTCCTTGGAATAGAACAAAACTACCTGATCTACATGGTAATCAAACCATGACCTTTACCCTGTATAGTTCTTTGATGAAAGCCACTGGAGATAATTAATCACAGGCTGATCAGAGATATATTTACATAGAAAGTTGCCTTTTAGATCATTCTATATGGCTAATTTTGTTTAATGATAGTTATTAAGCATTGTGTTCTATTCATATCTGAACTTGGATATTTATATTCTGTTTGCAACCATAAATTTGCCATGTATTTCAGATGTAATAAGGGTATATCTGTAAACAGTGATGTCCTTCCTCATGGCCATAGCAATATTATTGGCAGTGTTTTTTGAAACTTTTCTATGGTTTTTATTATTAATAAAATGGCATGAGATTCTTAGCAGACCAAACTGCAACCTATGAAGCAAATTGAATGCTTGCTTTTTGTTTGCTCTTATTTATTAAATTACTTCTTTTAAAAATCTTTACTGAAACTTGTATGAGAGTAAATAAAAACAACAATAATGATAATTTTTCTGATTATTAGGAGACATCTAAGTGGTTTAATGATAGAACACTGGACATGAAGTCAGGAAAGCCTGATTTCAAATTCTGTCTCAGACTATTATTAGGTATATGATCCTGGTCAAGTTGCCTAACTTCTTTCAGCCTTAGGTTTCTCATCTGTAAAATGGGAATAATAACATCACAGCCTCATAATGTGTGATAACAGTATGACATGTTATAATAATGCTAACATTTATGAGGATCAAATGAGATAATATATAAATCACTTCGCAAACCTTAAAGTGCTATTTAATTAGTTATCTGCTAAGGATGCCTGATGTAAGTTCAAACATAGATGTGATCATTCGAACTAGTGTGCTGGGGAAATACAGATCTTCAAATAATAATTGAACTGATAGCATCTGAAAGGAATTTTAGAGGTCTTCTCTTTCAACCTTCTTATTTTATCACTGAGAAAACTGACTTGCTTCAGGTTACACTAATACTAAATAGCCATGTCTGATATCAAACCCAGGTCCTATGCCTACAAATTAGCCTCTCTTTCAATTGTAGCAAACCTCTTTCTAATAACCTTGTTTTGATATTAAGAGGGCTAATATTCAGGAAACTTGTTGAAAATGAAGCATCTGGGAAGTTTATAATTTTATTTTGCACCTTTTGTCATTGAAATTTTCTTTGAGATGTCTACTGATGATGTATTCTTACATTTCAATGAAATTCACAGATTTTCAGCCACCTGATTATTGATATTATTAGCTTCTATAATTGGCCTAATCAAATAGTTAAATTCCATTAAACAAACATTTTTCTTAGAAAGTTAGGTTATTCAATCAACTAAATTTTATTAAACAGTTTTCAGATGAACTCTAAGTGTGAAGTAGTATGATACATCCTGGTAATAGAGGGGTGAAAAGCAACATAATACTTGCCTTCATGGAGCTAAGACCAATATTTGTTAAGCACTTTTCTCAAAATAACTGTATGAAAAAGGTAGTATGAAGATTATGATCCTCGTTGTACAGATGAGGAAAACAGAGGCTCTGAATGGTTAAGTTAATTCACCTTGGTTAGAGTAAATGGCAAAAGCAGAATTTGAACTCAGAAGTCACAGCTGTTACTGCTATAATGCCTCAACACAAATGACTATAATGCCTTCACGTAGATCATGTACGTTTGATTTATTCCATGAGGAATGGCTTGTGAATTACACAGGGAGGAGGAGGCAGTATGAGATTTAGTTCAGTGTGGCCAGAATTGTCACAGTGAATAATTTGAAACAGAACTGGAAAAGTAGATTGGAACTAGATTGTGAATGGCCTTAAATACTTGAGTAAGGAATTTTCTCTTCTTTTCAATAGTTAGGGGAAAGATATTGAAGATTTTTTTTTAACAGAAAAATGACATACATCAGAAAGATTACTGTGGCAGTAGCATTATGGTTGAATTGGGAGGGGAGAGATAAGATGAGAAGTGGGGAGATTAGTTCATGAAGCTATTATAATATTTTAAGTAAGAGGTAATAAGGACCTGAACTAATTTGATGGCATGAATAGTAAGAAGAGGACAGACAGCAACAGATTTTATGAAGAACTGACAGGATATGGCATGGAAAAGGAATCAAGGATGACACTGAGGTTTATAGCTAGGGAGGAAGATGGGGATTTTCAGAAATAATTTGGGAGGAAGGACAGTCTTTGGAAAGAAAATGGTAAGTTCAATTTTATGAAAGTTGAAAGGAAGAGAAGGAAAGGGCATGGGTGTTTATCAGATGCCTACTATGTACCAGGCACTGTGCTAGGCACTTTACAGTGATTATGTCATTTGATCCTCACAATAACTCTTGCAAATGGGTGCTATTATCCCCATTCTATAGTGGAGGAAACAAAGGCAGACAGAGTTTAAATTACTTGCCAAGGTCACACACCTAGTAAGTATCTGAGACTGAACTTGAATTCAGGTTGTTCTGACTCCAGGCACGCTGCTTTATCCACTGTTCCCCTGAGCTGCCTTTAGTTGACTTAAAAGTTTTGCAAGGCATGTCGAAGGAGATTTTTATTAGGCAAGTGGAAATCAATGCAGAGATAGGGACAGAAGGTAAAAGATTTGAAAATTCTCTGCATAGAAATAATAGTGGAAATAACAGAGGAGAATGAAATTGTCAAGGAAAAGCATATAGAGAAAGAAAAGATAAGAGTGTCAAGACTGAGATCATTTGGAGCCAAAGAGTTGATCCTTTTATTTTCATTTTGTAAAGTTCAGTGTTCTATAATACAGTGTTCTAAAAGTCTTAGTGCAGTTTCAAGCTTAAAGAGCTTAAGTGTTAGTAGATTAAAATTGTGCTAAGACTTTTTGAAATGCCCTGTATAGAACTATTCATCTTTGCAACAATTCTCAAATACACCACCTTCTCTCCTCAAACTTGCTGGTGAGTTTGCCTGCCTCAGTTCTCTCCCCTTTCCAATCTATCCTCCATTCAGCCACCAAAGTGATTTTCCTAAAGCACAAGTACAACCATGTCATTCCTATTCAGTAAATTCCAGTGGCTCTCTGTCACCTCCAGGATCAAATACATCATCATCTGTTTGGCATTCAAAGCCCTACATAACCTAGCTCTCCCTACTTTTTCCTGTCTTCTTAAAGCTTCTCAAATGTATGCAGCCTCCTGGCTTTTCTGCTCCATCTCTCAGAGGCTTTGAGCATTTTCTCTTTTTTGTCTCCCATGCCTAGAACACTGTCCCTCCTCTGCTTAACCTCTCTGGGCTTCCTTTAAGTCCCAATGAAAATTTTATCTTTTATGGGAAGCCTTTTCCAACCTTTCCTAATTCTAGTGCCTTTCCTCTGTTATTTATTTGTTTCCTATTTATCTTCTGTATAGCTTATTTTATATGTATTTGTTTGCATGTCTTTTCCCTCATTAGATTGCAAGCTCCTTGAAGGCAGGGGCTGTCTTTTCCCCTTTTTTGTATCACCAGTGCTTAGCACAGTGCCTGGTAAATACTGGGTGCTTAATAAGTGTTTATTGATTGATTGATTTCTTCTTTAGCTCATTAGCTCACGATTTTGACTGTGAAAGAGGTAGCAATATAAATAGACCAGTACTAAATGTTGTTGATTGTTTATAATTTACTATCATTCAGTGGTTTTACTTAAGGAAAAAATTAATATTCAACATCTAAAAAAAGTTTACAGAAATTTTCATTTGGCCTGAAGACATTCACATAAATATGGATAGCTCATTTTATTGTTACAAAACAATAATTAGAATGCATTATAAAATTATATATTAGCATTTGTATTCAAGATATGGAATAGGGAAACTGAATGTAATATTATTAATTTGTAATCTCATCATTTATACTTGAAAAATTTGTGGTTATCACAGGTGATCTCATTTCAAACAAATATGGGTGCTGCCAGTTAAAGTCTAGGATGAAATATTTTATTGAAAACTTTCTGAGTAAATTTTGGGGTTATTTTTGACAGTGTGC